TACCCACACCCACACCCACACCCACACCCACACCCACACCCACACCCACACCCACACCCACACCCTTATAATCTGTGCAAAAGTTCAGCCCGTATATATACGGGCCTCGGCACCAAAGGGTTAATCTGGTTTTTTTAAGAGTTTAAACCGATCTTTTTGGACACGAACGTACCCCGAGAGGTGACTACGATAGATTTTCAATAATCAGATGTGTAATCGAACTGCTAATCGAAGATCTACCAAACGACGCAGGGCTCAGATTTTTAGATTTAATTGTTCAGAAATAATAGGTATTCTACTCATCCGATTATCATGTTAGTTCCTGTGAAACAAATCACTTTTTTGCTTTTTTTCTTACTTTATGAGAGGCCAATTTTTCAGTACTTTTTGAGAATTTAACCATAAAAACTCAAAAGAGAAAAGCAGACTTCTGTACGTCTCCGTACTTCTTTTTATTTAGACTTGATCAAAAGTTCTGTCAACCTGAAATAAAACTATAAAGACAAACAGATAATTTTAATTTTAGTTTATCAGATGTTGAGGATAGTTGTCATTATTATTTATACCAAGCTCAATCCTTTCTATACTGAACGAAGTAACATATCGACAACAAATCAAAAGAAAAAACGCTAAGAGAAGCAAACAGACACCTGCACGTATAGAACAGGTATAACTACATGTGAGTGACTCTGCCGATAGGTGTACCATCCTTATATGATATCTGTCCTTTCATTGTGAATCGCTTTATTCTTACACTCATCTAGGCATGACTGCGCATCGTTCTCTTTCTGTCGTAATCTCATTTATCTCTCTCGTATATAGAAGCGTGCTGTATATAAGATAGCTACACTTGGAGATAGAACACAGCCGAATGGATAACAACAACAACCAAGGCTTCACACTGAATCAGATTGAGTTGTTTGACGACAACAAAGATCTTTTTCTTTCGATAAGTTACTTCACTCTAGGGTATGAATGTGTGTGGTTGTGAATTTGAATATTCCTGCATCTACACCCACACACACATCTTCAACTACGATGAAACTCTTTCAAGAATTCTGAGACGTACGATCAGAAAAATATAAAGCAGAGAAAAAAATTTAAATAAATTCTCGTTTTTTTTTCTATAAGCATCATTGTATTTTCAAGTAGGCGATGACTGAAATCATCAAAAATTTTGGCAAAAAAGAAGTTGCCAAACAGAAGAAAACAAATCTTCTTTGAATGATTAAAACTCAGACTATCTTCCTATGTATTTTTTCTCAATTTCAGTTTTTCTGACATATCTAAAATACAAAAATCTGAAAAAAAAGAAGCATGATTGTCGAGTAGTATATTAGCCTTTGAGTGGTATATATATCTTATAAAGTGTTCGAAAAACAATACCATAGCTACCACTATGAACTTTTCAAGTTCTCCATCTAGTGGTGGGGCGTGATCGGGATGTGTAATATCTCCCTTCCAAATCTTGGAAAATTTGAATTTTATCCTTGCAGAATTGAAATTGTCGTTTTATTTGCTGTTAGAAGAAAGATATTTTCTCTTTGCAAAAACTCGTGACGTCTACTCCCCGCAACGTTGGTCGCTTCGGGACACTGATGCTTCCATTCGACGGCACGATAGTTCATGAAATAGTTGAATAGATCTTCTCTCTTTAATTTTCTGTTTAGTGTACCCTTTCTTCCCAATTCGGAATTCTATTATTTGATAACGTCACATCATTATTTTGTATTTGGTTTTATGGTTTGGACGCTTGCGCTCTCTATTTGTCATAATAATGATTGACTAAGCATTGACTCACATTTACTCATTTTCTTTCGAAAGAAGTGTCTCACTTGATATTTCACATTCATTTGTCTACAGTTAATATTACGAAACTACACACATATTCCAAACTCTTATTATCAATATTTATATATCACATCGTCAATTAATTATTAAATAATGCCAATTCAGTAAGTAATTTTCTTTCATTTTTTTCGTTATTTTTTCTTATGAAACTGTTTTTTAAATGAAAAACCTTGATTGTTTGCGTGTTTTGCATGTATTTTTGTTTGCGCTCAATATTCCCAATAAAAAATGGGTCCCATTCTTCTTTTAGGCAACCATCAACATTCAATTATTTATCAAACAAAATTAATCTTATTATTTTCAATAAACTCAAACAAGAGTTACATATAATTGACAAACTTATTCATCGTCTATTACGGGTAAGAATAAATCTTGATTCTTTTATTTAGAAGTCCAAAAAGGAATAACACAGGAGATATTTGAGATTAAAAGGAGTTAATTAATGAAAATGTTTATGTAAACGCTCATCCAACAGTATACAGATTTCGGGAAAAAAGATATTTACGTAACAAATCATCAAATTTCAGAAATGGCTACACATCGTAAAAGAGATTTTCAGAAAATACGGCAATTATTGACAATTTCTGCAGAATATAAAACATTGTCGTTGAAAAACATACGGCATATAGCTACACATTTCTAAAATTTACCAACACACATAAAACATATTTCTAATTTCTTTAATCCTTATACGTATAGATACAGAATAAAATCTATAACAAATAACAAACCCTTCCGTTCAAAACAATGAGAATTTCGGTAATTACTAGGAAATTTCGTAATTTCTCCGTTTTTATATGTAATTACACAGAACTGAAATCTACTAAAGTAGAGATTCCTACTCCCAAATAATATCGAAATTTTTATAAATACTGGTAATTATTAGGAAATTTCAATAGTTTTCAAGGTCTAGAGTCTTCGTCTCATGATGAGATATGTTGATATAAATCATGAGAAAATTCTTGTAATTACTGTAAATTGCTGATAATTTCTGAAATTGGCAATATATGTATATTTAGAGCCTTGTTGTGATAATCGAAGGATTTTCGATATTTGGAAGTAAAATTCTGTCATTTTTGCTAAAGTATTGAAATTTCCCTGAAATTCTTAGCTATTATTCTTGATAGAATTTTGCGTCACGTCGTACAATATCTTGATGCTTCCAGAAATAGACGTTCATCCTGCTAGGCCTGATTTTCTTGACCCAAGTTTAAATTGACTTCATTCCCCCTATAAAAAGCTTTATTTCTTTGATTAGTTGGTACATTTTGTAATGCTTAGCAGTATGAATTTAAATCATAAGATATTTATGTCGCCCTATTCAGCAGTACGTCTTAATCAAAAATGTATACTGCTCAGAACTGTGGAATGTAGCAGCTAATTAAAGAAAGGAAGCTTATTTATGTCAGTCAATAAAATCATTATAAGTCTGAGCCGAAAATTTTTGTAATTCTTTTCCCTTCTGGAAGAGAAAATCTAAATAAAATATTGATTTTTCGTCATTGTGATTTAAGTATCTTGTAGATGAAACTATCTGGGATGGTAACTTTTTTCCGATAAACTGTTCTTCAAAAACCCAGAAAAAGGCGATCCTTACCGATAAGTACCGACATCGAAAGATAGATCAAGAAACTCTCTCTTGCTTTATTTTATTGTTCTAAATCTACAACTATTTTTCTTTATTTTCATAGATCAGCTAAAAACATCTTTATATTCAATCAAGTTTTCATTGAATTTATTTACGAAATTCAATGTGTGATACCATTCAATAATGCATTTAAATTGTTAATTTTCAACGTCGATGAACATTAGACAATAAATTTTTTGTTTTGTATTTTTTTCTCTCTTTCTGGTATTTTGTATTTTCGAACAAAATAATAATTCATTTCATTTTTTATTTAGAAAACATTCATCAAGTTCATCATCATATCGATCAAGTAGTGAACGAGATGAAAAACATTCATCTAGTCGACATAAACACAGACATGATGGAAAATCATCAAAAAAGTACGAAAAATAAAAAATATTTTCAGATAAAAATCTATTTTGCGTTTTTTTTTCTTTGTTAGACATTCCAAAAAAAGCAGTAAAACTCGTCGCACATCACGATCAAGATCTCCAATTCGACATCATTCATCGAACGCTGATAAAGAATGTAAATCATTGCAAACTTCTATGAATCAAACAATATCAGTGATAGCAACTACAACTAAACATCTTAATAAAGTAACAATTTTTCTTTATTTTTTATTCTTTTCTCAATTTTCATTTCTTCAATAGGAAGCTGAACAAAAACGTCTCGAAGAAGAAATGCAAAAACGTAAAAATCGTATTGAACAATGGCGTGCTGAACGTCGAATAATGTTTGGCATTGATAAAGTCCGACAAGAATCAGTTGTAAAAGTTACAAAAGTATGACAAACAAATACACAATGTTCCAAAAATCCGTCGGAATTAAAAGAGAGTTGTTAGCACAGTCCTTGCGAGATTAAAATGTGAAACACGATGTAGTAACTGTTACTAAACTTACCGACATTGTTTCATTTAATCGTTCAGAAATGCAATAGGTAATTAAAATGTATTATAATGAGACATTAGCGATATAGAGTGTCGCATAGCGGCAGATACAATAGCTTAATATCTTCCCTAGAACTATAACTAGCTGTAGCTTTGGACAGAAGGTGGATTTGACTCAGAATTCTTGATTTCCCCATACAGACTAGTAAACTACACGAACAGATGTTTGTCATCATGTAGTCAGAATGCTATCGTATAAGCCATATGAGATAAAAAGTCATTAGTAATTTGTTCAGGATCGTTCCATGACTGGTAGTCATAGGCGGCGGAGCCACGAGGCCTGGGTAGGCTCGAGCCTACCCTAGATTGGAGTCGGGTAGGCTTGGGTAGGCTCAAACTGGGACATATAAAGGCTTGGGTAGGTTCGAATTATCCTAAATTAAACATATAAAAAAGCTTGAGTAGGCTTGAATCGTCTTAGATTGAGGAGATCAAAGGGGCTCAGATAGGGTCTGTTCAATGTTAAAATTCTCTAAAGGATGGTTCAAAAGTTTCGACCACTCTCTATAAATCGATAGTATCTACAACAAACTAATATGAAGTTATTGATCAAATTACGTCATCTTTTAGAGAAAGATAAGAGTTATCATGTGAAAAAATATTTGGAAATAGATCTAGCATCTCACTAACACTTTGTAAAAAAAAAAGAGAAAAAAAGATGCCCAGCATTCTTGAAAAAAAAGAGACTTTTTAATAAAAAAAAGAAGAGAAAAAGAGGCGTCCAGTTTGCTTTCGAAGAAAACTAAAACTCACCGGCACCATAGTACTATAGATCCGACAAAATTCGTACGTTATCAGTATAGATTAAATATGACTTGAAAGAGAAAAACAAAAACGAAGCTTCCAAATTGTTCGAAGATTTTTGTGCAGCTGCTTTTATTTATCCATTAGAAAACCGGAAAACATTAGAAAAATATTCTAAATATTCTATCTGCATAGTATCTGAGTATAGTATTACTGTCTAACTAAGTAGGTATATAGAAATAGAAACAATCAAAATTCATTAAATGTCCTTTTTGCGTTTTGTTCCTTTTTTTCGGATGGCTGCGCATGTGAGAAAGTTTTTCTTGCGCTTTTTCAATTTTCGGCAATTCTTCCTTGATTTTGACCATTTTTCGCAAGTCAGTTTCATTTTTCCGTTTCTCAACATAAATTAATACATTGGTTGCAACTGTGTCCAGACAGCAGGTTTGTGGGAACCATTTGACCGCGTGCTATCGAAAACGCTTAATTTTTCGCAGTGACATATGATCATCTTCTTGGGTTCTGTATAAAACGACTTACTTGTATTGAGTAGATTGTATGATCTCTTACTTTTTGGTTATCGGATACCCCTGTTTGTTGCTGTTGCATTCCATCATATCCGATTTCTTCCAAGTATCATCAAACCGTTGTCAATATTAACCCATGTCAAGCAAACACGCTCGTAATTGGAGAAATACGGCGTTTCATATCGCCCAGTAATGTGATCGTATAAATCCGTGATCGTATGCGCAAAAATATGATCGTTTATAGACAAACAAAGCTCGTCTACACTTTTCGTTTTACTTTGTATTTCTTCGTATACGATTATATTTCTCCGTGGACGGTTTGGAGATATACGAACCTCAAAAATGTGATTGAATACGAAGAAGCTCGAAAGAAGAGGAAGAGGGGTTGCTTCATTTTCTGATAAGCAGAAATCTTCAACTTATGTTGTCATACTATCGGAAGCTATCTTGCCGAACAAATCCCTTCGAATCTGACAGAATTCTAGACTGAGTCTAGTCATCCTAGGAACTCTTTGCTTTGAAGCATGCGCTACGCTACGAGTTACCTATCTATTGTTAGATTCATATCACAAGCTTCTCTAGGGCCGAAAAAAGTGGCCAAGAAAAGTGAGCTCGAGATTATAATTTTACATGTCGATCTTAACCAGAATAAATGTGGAAACCTCAGATTTAAACCCGAGAGTTATGTGTACTTCAAAAAGTGAATGAGACAGATGAGTCATCCTACAATGTGTGGACGTAAAAATTATCCTGGCAAACCTTTTCTATAAAACACTTGAATTCTATTGGCTACTGCTCAATCAATAGGATTTAGAGATGAATACAGCTCAGATTTGAACTCTTCGCCTTGGTTTACCCTAAGAAAGTCGTTTATTCCTATAGCTTGATTTCTATTGGTTACTGCTCAACCAATAGAATTTCAAGGCAAACGGAGCTTGGATTAGAGTTCTCCGACCCAGAAAACCTCGAACTATCATCTCTGTGATCGGAAGACAGAGCTCTAATTGTGGATCAATTAGAGTGTGGACAAGAACAGAACCATTTCCCGTTTAATTATCTTTGCAATAGGTGAGTTAGTCTTCTTGTTTCTTTATGTTTTATATACCACTTTGTAGCTCGTGAAATTCTCTATCGAATGGTATATAATAGTTGGGGTTTTATTTGACTATGATAGGAAAATTTTCTTACGAAAGCAGGGATAGGTCGATTTTCGCATAGGAAGGCATAGGGAATAATGACTATTTTTGCAATAGCTCAGGAACGGCTTGACGAATCATTCTCATCTTCGAACTCGACCGAGATATTGTTGAAACTAAACTGTGTAGAAAATTTCATCGCAATCGAACTCTCCTTTCAAAAGTTATCGTGTAAACGGCCGGACGGACATACTGACCGATTCTAGAGTGTACTCACTTTTTGAGTACACAAAAACATGTTAAGATCGTGAGAGAATGACGATTTCATATTGGAAACATAATTGAGTGCTTTTGCTTCCGCTAGAGAACTGTAAAAATTGGGTTCCGATTATGGATATATAATATCGCTGAAGTTGATCACTAAAATCATATACTTTAGCTTCCTTAGCTATGCAACTTGACTGATCAGCACATCAGTTTGTTATGTGATATTTTTGTATGATATGGTAACAATAATCAATATATTCATGAATATTTTTTTCAACGACCTGCTGCTTCTTCGTGAGAAAAGAGGAAAAAGTGGATTTTTTCGAAAAAAGAGGCTAAAAAGAGGAATTTTAAAAGAACAGAAGAAAACGAGGAAAAAGAAGTGGAGTGGGATGCCAGCTCAAAGCTGCTAAAATGATCATAACATTATAATAGATTTATGTGTTTCGAAATATTTTTTTCAAATGATAACTCTCATCTTCCTCTACAAAATAACACAATTTGATCAATAGCTTTGTATAAGTTTGTTGTAGATATTATCGATTTATAGAGAGGGGTCGAAACTTTCGAACCATCCTTTAGTTATCAAATTCTACGGAATTTAAACCTAGCAAGAGAATCTGTAGCGCTTACCATTATAAACGAAAAAAAAAGTCTTTCAATTGACTCTCGGTGCTGGCTTGGCTTAAAAGTTGAGCCTACCCTAGACCAAGACCGCTCCGCCGCCCATGCTGGTAGTACAGAGATTTGCATACAGTACCTTGTTATGTTCGAAGTGTTCCCCTTCAAACATAAGACGTAACGAAACGAATAATGAGTACTCCTTTCTAGTACAGTGGTTAATACGACTGCCCGGAAAGCAGGAGATGCATGGTTCGATTCCATGCGAAGGGAGATTATTCTTTTGTTCCGTTCTGTGGTCATACCGTCACGTTGCTATCTCGGTGATATCAGAGTATAATATGAGAATACGAGCAATAAAGAAAAGAAATAAGACGTAACATACCTTGTGTAAACATGTCAAACAACATAGCCACTATGGCATGGCGCCTAATGGTATCTGACTAGCATTTGTCACGGTCGATGAAGGGGAGGAAGGGTCGAA